CTTACTACGGGTCTGTTGATCAGTGATGGGTCTTGTCGTATGCATGTCTCTCCAGGAAAGAATGAATTAATGAATTTTTCTATTGGTCAGCGACCCGATCCTTTGTACTGAACATCAGTAAGTGTATTGAAGTTCCATTTAGTCTTAAAACCGGTCCCCGTTTGCTTTCATCAGTTAATAATCTCCCTGATCTTGAAGTTAGCAATCAAAGCATTCCCGAATCTGTCTGTCAAATACCTTGGTGTCACCCTAACCCATGATCTGTCCTGGTCTTCTCCCGTCATCAACGTTTTCAGAAAAGTTTGAAAGCCGTCTTTCTATGCTTACAGGATCACGAAACTGGCCGTACCACATTATCTTATTTTTAAATTTGTGCATTCTTCCACACTGACTATACTGCACGCTGATTTTTATTCCTGGACTGAAAAAAAAGAATTCACTTTATTTTCGAGATCCCTTAAACTTTAGTCCCGCTATAGTGGAGTTGATAAAGTTGTTTTAGATGGTTTCTTTATTTTCAAGCATCTTGACACTTGTGATACATTCATAGAGATGATAACACATGATCAAGGGCACTTTCTGCATCAAGACATCGCGAAAGCCCGGCAAAATTCCCCGAACTTGCTCCAAACATGAACTCCCTCCTGCGTGGACTTCCACATATAGAAACAGTGTAATTCCGTACCCGGCTCGTTTACTGGTTCATCGTCAGAATATTCTCATCCACCTCAGGGAAAAATACTCTTGCACTAATCCCTCTCTCATTTACTAAAGTGTAAAATTTCTTATGTTGTCTTCTTTGTTTGCAATTGGTTTTATCCATCTACTGCACAAAATCGTAAATTGCTGAAACTTCATTCCCGTGCAATGGGCTACTGAACTTTTCACAATCTCAACATAAAAATAACCTTGATTGATAATGTTTATAATTACGATCTATCAGCATAGAGTATTCTTTTACTTCTTGTTCGTTACAATCTGATATAATTTTATTCAACTGGATAATTTCTCTGTTGACAGTCAGAAAGTCAACTCTCGAGGTTATCGATTGAACTTGATTGAGTAGTTCATTTGAAGTTGCAACTAGTCTTCTTTACAATTGTCCCCCTTCTATCTTTGTGTGCAAATTTTGACTAACAGAGTAAACATACACTACGGTTGCTGGTTGGAATGATTTCAAATAACACTACCGTCACTATTCATAGTGACCAACGACGGTAGCGCATCAAAGTAGATAACCGCCCGCATCTCCAAGGCTCGAGCAGCGTACGCAGGACTGAAACATCTGTGGTGGCGACGTGACGTTTCACTGAAGTTGAAAAGTCGCGTATAGTGCACCATCGTACAATCAGTTCTACTTTACGGTTGAGACTTTGAATTTTCGGATAGAAGCCACCCGTCGTTTAGCAGTGTTCGTCAATAGGTGCTTACGTAGTCTGGCCCAGGTTCGATGGAGTGAGCGGGTTAATAACTTAGAAGTCAGTCGTCGGATGTTTTAGAATACATCAAACAAGAACTCACTATCGCATCAAATCCAGCTCCGTCGGCTTCGTTGGTTAGGACATGTTTTGTGTATGTCCGACAGTCGCCTACCGCAGCGCGCTTTATTCGCAGTGGTTGTTACAGGCTGGAGAAAGCTACGTGGAAGCCAGCAGATGACGTGGAGAAGTGGGATGAAAAAATGCACAAAGCGATTAGGTAGAGTAGGTGTCGGCTTCCGGGTTGGGGTCCAAAAGACTCCGTCACCGCATGTTTGGAGACACTGAAGGTCATGGCTGCCAACCGAAAGCAATGGCGAGCTTGCTGTCACTTATTATCAGACCAGAATGCTTAAAATAGCATGTATGCACAGTTGAACTGTGTACTCTGTGTTGACCATAGTGGTTCATCTTTTCCCGTTCCTAAGAATAGGTCCAATCCCTGTCCTCCTAACATATTATCACTTACCTTATATGCAATATGAGTTTGGCAGCGATCAGTGAAGTTCGCTTGACTGTATTACGCCGTACAAT